GGGGAGATGGGTGTATTAAACAAGCTGAGTGGGGGTCCACGGGGGCACCATAAAAGAGGGGGCATCGTCAGGCGTTCGAGATCGCGTCCAGCCCATCCCCCCCCCCACCCCCCACCCAACGGGTGCGCCCGGAGCGCTGGGTCTACTGTCTCCGCCCGCCGGGGGTGAGAAATGCATGTGTCCACAGGTCTATCTAAAGTGGAAATCGGGAGGGGGTGGGGGTGGGGGTGGGAGAGGGGGACGATGTCAAACATCCGAAGTGACACATGCACCATCGACAAGCCGATGCATGCGAGTAAAAAAAAAAGATCAAGGCGCAAGACCCCCGGGAGAAGACCCGATCGCGGCGGAAGGGTGGGGAGTCGGGAATGTGGCGCCACGCTGGGAGGTGCCACCGGATTGACACCCAACCTCATGGCGGCCGGGGATGTCCCGGGGGATTGCCTCGGCTCGTGGTGAAGATTCGCAGGGGGGGGGGAGTGTTCCCGTTTGACACTCTGTTTCTATCCACGCAACACACAGGCCGTCCTAGTGGGTGATGAATTCCCAGCTGTCCGGGTCATCGGCACTCGAGTGTGTGCTGTCGGGGCCAGGGAGGATGTGCAGCTGTCGAGGGTGGCGCAGGGGTGCGAGGGCCATGGCGGCCGCGGTCGGCGGCACGGACGCCGGTAGGAGAGGCATGTCCAAGCGGAGCTGTGCCAGCCACATGGGCACGGCGCCGGACGCGATGGACCAATTGAGAAGCGTCTGCCCATGTGTGAGGAGGCTATTGAGGCGCCACTGGACGAAGGTAAGATGGGGAGTTGGGAGGTTTTCCGTGAGGTTCAGCTGGTTCCGGGTGCCGGAGGGGAGATGGAACTTGCCCGGGGCCGTGGCCGAGATGTGCTGGCTGATGGCCTGGCGGAGGGGAGACCCCTCGAATGGGCCGAGATTGTGGAAGAATTGCTCCATCTTCAGCAGACCGAGCAGGCCAAACCCGGAAGCCAAGTCCAGGAAGTCGGCGGCCGAGGGACAGGGGAGGGTGGCCAGGCGCTGGGCGCTGGTGCCATGCGCCGAGAAGAGAGTCGACGAGGCTTGCCTCAAGGGGGGCGGCACCGGGGAAACCGAGGTGAAGGGCTCGGTGGAAAGTTGAGATGCCATGTCGAACCAGTCATTGATATCGACTCGGTTGATGCACAGGAAGGATGTGGGCTCCGGGGGCGGAAGAGAGGGCTCCACTAACCGGCGAAGGTGCGCTGCCAGGAGCAGGGCTTGCGAGTTGTACATGTTGAAGCGATCGCACAGATCCAACGGCGAGAGGGTAGCCAACTGGGTGCCACTTGGGAAGAAGGACATCAAGGGGACCTCGGCGTGGACATGATCCAGCACAGCCGCCAGGAGGGAAGAAAGATCCTGGCGTGGGTCATTTGGCGCCAGGCCGCGCAGAATGGCGAAGAGCTCCACCTCGAAGCCGGACACATGGTGCGCCTGCCCGGTGGCCAGGGCCCGGCAGATGGCATGGTCATACAGGGCCAGGGTCAGCAATGCATCCAGATGATTGAGGTAGATCAGGCGCCCGGCCACCTCCACCGGCAAAGGATGACGCAGGTCCGAGACGCTCCACTTTTCGGGGGAAAGGGCAAAGAAAACACGCTCTTGGGCGGAGGAGCTGAGAAGGCCTGTGTCGGGCGCGCGCGCGCGCGTGTGTGCGTGTGTGTGCGTGTGCGTGTGCGTGTGCGTGTGTGTGTGTGTGTGTGTGTGTGTGTGGCGGGGGGGGGAGGAGGGGGAGGGGCGATCATGAGTCAGGAGCGAATTGGCCGCATCGGGACCAAGGAGATGGTGATTGTGGGCCGGCCATGACCAGGGTCATGGCGAGGGGAGCACGGACCAGGCTGCTGGCGGAGGAGCTCTGAGAGAGCCTCCTTGAGAGGCAGTGGAGGCCCGGCAAAGAGGGCCTTGCGGACTTGATCGAAGGGGGCAGAGGCACCCGGAGGAGTGTCCGTGGTCAGGGCCGTCTCGCAAAGGTACTCATAGAGCGGGCTGATCACCGTCTGCAAGGCCCCCAGTCCGAGGGCGTGGAAGTAATGGTTGAGCTCGGTGGTGGAGCGAGCCAGGTGCGATGATACCCGACAGTGCTGGATGTCACGATCAGCAACCAGTTGCTGGAAGGCCAGCGAGCCGAACTTATTGTAGCCGAAGGGGGCCTCGCCAGAAGAGCTGGCATGGACTACGGGTCCGGGGAAGATGTTGCCAAAGCGGCTTGGGGCTTGGGCCAGGGGACAGCGGGGGGGAGGGGGGGGGGGGGGGGGGGAGCACAAAACCGGCAGGAAGCCAAGTCAGGGGAAGGGGTCTCTGGCGGGAAGAGGCCAACAGGGCGCCGGGGAGAGATGCGAAAGCGTCCCAAACCCGTGCATTCGGTTGCTGCCACACGTACAGGGAAGGAGAACCTGGAATGAACGGCTCTCCGCCATGGTGATGAGGTCACGATAGTCCTTGAAGCTGGGCGCCGACCGGCCTGGTGCCGATGGCAATCCCGGAGGTAGTCGAGGGGAGGGGGGAGGGGGGGGGGGGGAGGGAGAGGGGGAGCGGCGCGGACAAACGAATCAGCAGAAGGGAGATCCAGAGGATGAGCCGCTCCTCAAGCAGACATAGTGCGGGGTGTGGCGGTGGTTCCAAAGAAAGGCCAGGAGCGAGGGGTGTCATACCACGCAAGTCCAGGAGGCGCAGTTGTTTGCACTCGTCGAGCACATTTTCCTGGATGGAAAATCCGTGGATTCCTTCATGAGGCACGATGTGTCAGGCCATGGGCAGGCAGGGGCCCGGTGAGTCAAGGCTGGCGCACCATTGATGCTGATCGATTCGAGAGTGGTAATGGTCGAAAGGATAGCGAAGAGTCGGTTGATGTTGAGCCGAGAGGGGGCTTTCCGGGGGGAGGGTGCCGAAGGGGGATGTCAGATAGGGGGCCCGGGGGAAATAAGCTGCCGTATGTATGGCGGATGGCGGTCGCACAATCGATCTCGAGATGCCGAATGGGCAGATCCATGAGTAGATCCCTCAGGTTGAGGCCATCGTGGTCGATAGGGCAGTCTGGGCGGGGAGTTAGAGCGGGCCTGTGTGGGGCGGGGCAAGTGGCGAGGAGGGGAGAGAGGATCATTAGGGCCGTTGGACAATTACAGGAGAGGGGGGGGGGGGCGGGGGAGCCCCACGCACCGATGAGGGAGAGACTGAGCCCATTGGTGGCCTGAGTGGCCCGGAAGAAGTTGGCAAAGAAGAAGGACGCGAAGTATGTCAAGTGAACCTCTGAGGTTGGGAGGAAAAGCGCATGTTAGCCAGACGATCGAAGCAGCGGGGCAAGCGAAGCAGCGGGGCAAGCGAAGCAGCGGGGCAAGCGAAGCAGCCGGCGGGATGATACTTTTGAGGGTCAGCGAGTGCACATTGTGCGGCTCGAAGCTAAGATACTTGTCCATGACCTCGTCTTGAGGCAGGAAGACCTTGGGACCTAGTTGCCGGGGGCAAAGCAGGACAGAACAGAAGGAGTCAGAGAGGCAGGCACATGAGGGGCCGGGGTCAGGGCAAAGGGAGACCCATACTTTCAATGGTCAGGAAGCTGGTTTTGGGGCTAACCAGAACCGACAGAAGTTGCGGGGTAAGATACCAGCCGGCGAGGTTCAGGCTAGATGCAGGGAGGGCCATTCGACAGAGGAAGTCGATGGATTCTCGAGGAAAGTGGACATCTTTCCGAGTCGGAGATGGTGATGATGGTGTGTGTGTGTGTGTGTGTGTGTGTGTGTGTGTGTGGCAGGGGGAGGAAAAAAAATGGTGATGGTCAGAGTACAGACAGCGGGAGACATGGTGACGTGCTGAAGCGGCGGGCGAGGAGGGAGAGAGGGTACCCTTGGCGCGAAAGGCAACGTGGTCACATGCGGGAATGTGGAAGTTGGCTTCCAGCTGGGCTGTGTCGACTGAAGGACGGAGGGAAGCGGTTGGTCATTTGGTCGGGGGCGCGTGGGGGACATGTGGGAGGTCGGAGAAGCTTGAGCAAAGGCCGGCATGGTGCAATCAGGAGGCAGAATCGCACGGCGGGGTGTGACAGTGGCCACGAGAAAAGGACGAGAGTCGGGGTGTGTGGGTGGGATGAGGCTGACGCGACAACCGGGGATCAGGGTCTTCGGGGGGCCTGCTTGGGTCACTTTAGAGGCAAACAGTCGTCGGGAGGCGGTGCCCAGGGCGCCGAGCCTCATGTTGAGGGACAACATCCCGGATGTTGCAGAGAGGCGCACAAGGCAGGGGGGAAACGGCGAGAGCAGCGACAGAGGGGGGATGAAGAGCGATGTCACAAGAGGGAAAAGGGGGGGAAGAGAGGGGAGGGGGAGAGAGAGAGAGAGGGAGGGAGGAAACAAGGAGGAGGGCAGAAAGAGGGGGGAGGAGGAAACATGGTCTGCCTCCAGGCCGGATAATGCAGGAAGATTGCGGAAATAGGTCCGCGCCAAAAGGTCTGTCCCACACCGGCGAGCGTGTGTGTGGGGGGGGGGGGGGAGATACGCGTGTGTCCCAACCCCGATGGTGAGACCGCCCTGAGTCGGGGGATACCCTGGGGTCCCGGCGATCCGGCCCCAAGCCATAGAAAGAGTGCCGAGGCCAGCGCAGGTGGCCACCATCGGCCGGAATGAGCACTCACCTTCTCAGTGCGAAACATCCTGCAAGGGTGATGGCCGCAATGGTCTCCGCCGAGGCGCGCGCAGGAAGGGAGGCACGAGGGGCGGGGCGGGGCGGGG